CCCGTAATTGAGGATAAACCCTAAACCTAAACCCTGATATGAGTATCCCGGAAGCCATTTTATACTTTTAGGAATATTCCCCAGGTCATGTTAGAATTCTCATTCTTCTGATTCTTAGCAGCTGATCAGGGATACATATTATTCTACCAAATTGAAAGGTAAACCTTTTTTGGACCAGGTACTTAGCAACGAGGGGTTGAAGGAATATTCTATGTATGAGCGCTCTGGAGGCTCTGGGTGTATCCATTTACAAGGCTTCTGGGAAAGCTTCGTGTTACTTGCTCACCAGGCAGTGAGATTGAGACCTACGAGTTTCTCATCAGCCCGCATCCTAGCGTTCAGATCTGATGGCCCCGGTTCAGGGTTTAGGGTTTAGAGTTTATGTTGGTTTAGGGTTTAGGGTTTAGGGTTTTGGGTTCAGTGTTTAGGAAACTCCCCTAGAAGGACTAAGCACCTGTCCCTATGTTGAACCTGAAGGAGAGCTATACGATGAACCCTAAAGCTATACTTACCTACCGGTGACCTCCGCCTACAGTTCCCTCCCCCGCCTCCTAATATCAAGGAATCCCACTGAGGAATGTGTATCTTTGCAATGGGGTAGAGGGGAATAGACCCCAAAACCCTAACCGCAAAGCTTGCCAAACTCGACATTGTGTCTGCTGGAAAGGGATGTGCGCAAGTTGAGCTCATGGGGCTTTCGGGATTGGGGAACAGAAAGAGTTTGGGCTTTGTGGTTTGGGTTTTGGGTGTAGGCTTCTTGGAAGTTACGACAAACAGCTGCACCCTTGGACGGGCATATTGAAAGTACCCTAAACCCTAAACCCTAAACCCTAAACCCTATAAAGGTGGCCAGGACACCCGAGTCACTGCGAGATGCCGCTGCCTCTCTTCACTTCCTCTCTCATTGCATCTCTTTAGACGGTAACTACAGGGCAGTTTCCAAGAATGGGAGGTACCCAAATATACGTTCATTCTTCGTCTATGGACGCCCACTCCCCCACCCCCCTTCTTCCCAAAAAAAAGAAAACCGTTTTCGGAAACCTCCAAATAGACAAAGAACAGCATGGGCCCAATGGGTGAAGTTGAGTGAACACGACCCAGGGGCTAAGACATGCAAGAAGGATTTAAGGTTTACAAGTTGGGGCCCCTTACCATACTACGTAACTTTAGTCAGGGAGCTGAAACCTACTTAACGAAACTTAGCAACCTAATGTCGGGCCCTTTTGCCTATTTCTATAACTAGGGGGTCTAGGGCCCGATCAAACAGCCAGCAGTTCCACCGGCCATGGGTAAGGTTTGGGTTTTGGGTTTTGGATTTTTGGGTTAAGGGTGTAGGGTTTTCCAGGTTAATAAGTTCATATAGCCCGAGACTGCAACATCCATCCTGGCACTGTCCAGAAGTTGTAAGCCATCCTAGTACGGCTTCTACGATTGAAAGCACTTTGCGTAATCAAGGGATCTTCATACCCAGCAAGTTCAAGCGCACAGTGTCATGGCTTTCCCATTGTCCGTTCCCTTCCCTCCTTCTCGCAGAACCCGAAACCCTAAATCCCGAAGGTATGATGAATGAAGCACTGGAGGGGCTGCTTGCTAGACGAACCATGCTTACGGACCGATTTCCCAATGGAGGACCCGGATGATGCTACACACACAGATATGTATATACACACGCAGCTCTAAGACTCTAAGCGCCCCCCCCCCCCCCCCCTACCCTCCCCTCCCCCTGACCCCCAGTCCCGGTCCCGAAAGAACCAAAAACCCCGAAGCTAAACCCTAAACCCTAAACCCCAAGCCCTAAACCGAATGAAGGCAGGGACCCCAAGTTTCCGAAGCTCGAAACGAGGTCGGCTTTGGGGTGTTGGGCGGTGTTGGGGGCTTTGGGGTAAATGTTGGGTTAGGGTTTTGGGTTTATGCCCTAAACCCTAAACCCTAAATCCTAAACCCTAAGCCCTAAACCCTAAATCCTAAGCCCTATACCCTAAGCCCTAAACCCTAAACCCGAAAAAAACCCAAGCCCCCCCCCCCCAAATCCCAAGCAGGGCTTGGGTCGTGACAAGTTGGGTTAGAAGTGCCCGAAACCACTGAGACTCCAAGAGCCCAATACCCCTCTGATTTTTGTGGAGTATACCTCAAATCGTGTTAAGGGCCTCCTAGATGGCTTAAGGTCTATTCCTGAATTACGGAGGGGGGGCCTCTCTGGGCAACTGTTGAACCTCCACGTCTGGGGTTTTTGGGACAAGGCTTTCTCTTCGTGGAAATTGGGAACCCTAAACCCTAAACCCTTATCCCAAGGGACCCCACCCTCCTGTCCCTGAAGGGACTGTCTATACAAGTAGGGACCGGGAGTAGGCCCTTTTTTCCTTTTTTTAGGGTTAGGGTTTCCTTCTAATCCCCTTAAAACCAAAAAGGGTACCCTTTTTTTTCCTAGGTTACTCCCGGGTCTATACAAGTAGGGGCCTTAGAGTTGTATGTAGGGCTATAAGAGCCCTACATTGCGTTCTAAGTCTTGCTATGAGGGGTTAGAACTCCCCTAGCTGAAGTCTCAATAGGAAGTATCGTCAGGGCCCCTACTTGTAGGGGGTTTAGGAATTTAGGGTGGCAGGGCTGGAGCCCGCAGGCCCAACTAAAGTAAGAGAGCCCGTCATCTTATAGGGTTTAGGCTTTAGGGTTCAGGGTGAGGCTTTTCAGGCCTCTTGCTCGGAAGAACCTGCAAAGTTCGGCTTGTGGGATGCCTAGGGGAAGGGGGAGAGGCAGGGGGCACTAGGTAAAGCCGGAAACCCAAAGCACCCCCTTGCAGGCAGATGAGCGTGGCTGGGCGGTCAGACAAACTCCAGCTGGACGGCCACGGCCCAAGCTTTAGCTTGGTAGTGGAGAACCCGAAAAACCGGACCCTGACACCCTAAACCCGAAATCAACCTGTTTAAGGTTTTTCGGGCTTTACAGTTTTCAAAGAGTCAACCTGGAGCTCCTCTATGACACGACACTTAGGTAAGGGTTTAGGTTTTAGGGTTTAGGGTTAGGGTTTAGAGTTTAGGGTTTAGGGTTTAGGGTTTAGGGTTTAGGGTTTAGGGTTTAGGGTTTAGGGTTTAGGGTTTAGGTCTTAGGGTTTAGGGTTGAGGGTTCAGGGTTTAGGGCTTTGGGCTTAGGGCTTAGGGTTTAGGTTTTGGTTGGGTTAGAAGCTACTGGGGCCCTTGATTGCAGTTTCTTCTTTGGGGGGGGGGGGGGGGGGGGGGTGTACCTAGCTTCTTAGGGACTGGGTAGGTAACCCTTAACCTTTTTGACTATATAGACGCCTACCCTAAACCCTAAACCCTAAACCCTTAAACCCCTAAGTGAACCTTTTCGGGCTAGGGTAGTCAGGCCGTCAGCCGTCGACAGAGTCTTCCTGGCAACATCCCCGTAGAGCCCAAGACCTTGGGATGTTGCCCCTTATGCTAACAGCCCTTACAAAGGGACTATAGTAACCCTAAACCCTAAACCCTAAACCCCCTAATATTGTCCTTATTAAAGACAGTGAGTATAAGGGGGCACAAGCTACAAAGGCCTTTGCAGGGGAAGTTAGACAGCGCAGTCTGCTCTAGACTCAGATTGACTATGATTGATTGGTGTTTGCAGCACAAACCCTAAATACTAAACCCTAATGGGCTTCCAGCTTCGGAACTTGTTCTTTGGCCGTCGCCAGGTCTGATACCAAATCAGGTGTGCGCCGGACCAGCACTCGTGAAGCTGGGGTTTGTTTCAGAAAGGTTTGGGGTTTAGGGTTTAGGGTTTAGGGTTGAAGTGCAGACTGGCTTGGCCAAGAGACTGGGTATTTGTTGCGTAGTCGGAAAGGAATGGGGTATCGTTGGAACTGCTACTCTTCCATCGTTTCCTACTAACCAAATGTAAGATTTCTTTTTTGTCTTAGTTACATGGTCCCTCAATTTGGGCCCTTAATTGGGGAACCCATATATACCCCCCGTATAACCCACAAAACTCTACCCCGGAATCCTTGAAAGAATTATGGGACCAGACCTAGGTGACCATGCAACACTTTTTGGGTTTGCGAGATTTGTTCAAGCCTTGGGTTTCTTTGTGAGGCAGCCACTGTCCAGAGCCCTGGTTTTGAGTTTAAACTTGAAGGGCTTAGGGTTCAGGGTTTAGGGTTTGGGGTTTAGGGTTTAGGGTTTAGGGTTTAGCGTTTAATCCTGTCGGGTATTTTTGGGAGGCTTGGAAATCCGGCCGTTTCTTGAGAGGGATCCTCCTCCTGGATCCTTACACCCTAAACCCTAAGCCCTAGACCCTAAACCCCATCATCCTGCCTTGTGCTCACGTGGCCTTTACGTACTCGGTTGGCCTTCTTGCTCTCAGCTGAAGAGAACTGCCCAAAAAACCCTTCAACCCTAAGATGCTCTCCGAAGCCCCGAACCCTCAACCAGCCCTAAACCCTAAACCCTAAACCTTAAGCCCTAAACCCTAAACCCTAAACCCTAACCCTGAACCCTGAACCCTGAACCCTAAACCCTGAACCCTAAACCCCGAACCCTAAACCCTAAACCCCAAACTCCCTAATGGGCACGGCAATTTGATCAGAGTTTGTGTCGCAGCTGTTTGGGAGACAGACTGAGTTTCACCTCACATGGAGCATGTCTTGTAGGCAGCTGTGAACCCACAAGCCTCACTAAATGGACTGGTGCTTGAAATCGGGAAGAATACATGTAGTATCACAAGCCATAAGCGGCCGAATTGGGAGGTCAGTTCCGGGCAAAAAAGATCTGCAGCCCGGGGTGATGAATTCCATATCCTTCCAAGTCCATAAGCCCTGAACCTCACAACCTCTCAACACCTCAGCCCCCCAAAGCCCCTAGATTAGGGTTTAGGGTTTAGGGTTTAGGGTTTAGGGTTTAGGGTTTAGGGTTTAGGGTTTAGGGTTTAGGAACCCCACTTAAAGCTCTCCCTGGGTCCTTGGACAGCTCTTCCCTGCGCGTGTTGGGCCGTTGCTCAGAGCGCTGAGTCCAACCATGGCGCCGAAGTCGAAGGCAGAGGGTTTAGGGTTTAGGGTTTAGGGTTTTAGGGTTTAGGGTTTAGGGTTTAGGGTTTAGGGTTCAGGGTTTTGGAATTTAGTTCTAGGGCTGAGAGCCTCTGGAAGAGCTTTGTTTTCTAACAGGTTGTTCCTTGAATCATCTAGAGTCTTTTGCGAGGGTTTCAAGGCATGGTCCTTGACACCCTCAAGCCTGTACGCCTTAATTGAGCCTGGGCTCGTGGTTCTGTTTTGTGAGGTTCCCTAAACCCGAAACCCTAAACCCTGAACCCTAAACCCTGAACCCTAAACCCTAAACCCTAAACCCTGAACCCTAAACCCTGAACCCTAAACCCTAAACCCCATCACCACCAACGAGAGCCAATGCGCCAGGCAACGGCCAAACCAAAGCGCAGCCGGGCAGGCTCTTTAGCTAGGGTTTAGGGTTTAGGGTTTTCGGGGTTTCGGGGTTTGGGGGATTGGGGGTTTGGGGTTTGGGTATGGGGTTTTGGGGTTTAGGGTTTGGGGTTTTGGGGTTTTGGGGTTTAGGGGTTTAGGGGTTGGGGTTTAGGGATTGTGGTTTCAGGCTTGGTGTTTTGAGTTTTGGGTGTAGGGTCTAGGCCTTCGGGCGGGTTTAGGGTATGCGGTTTTGGGGTTTATGGCAGGCTCAACTCGCTGGAGTTAATTAGGACTTAGGACTGCAAGCAAGGGGTTTAGGACCCTAAAACTAAACCCTAGCTTGTCGTGAGTCGTGTTCGGTTGCTCAGATACAGCGACAGCTCCGGGTTTACCCACTTAGAAAAAGACGTCACATCAAGATGTCCATCACCCAGCTTTGACAGGCAGCGCGCCACCTCGCCCCCGAAGAGGGGCCTCCCCTGCCCCCTCAGGCCAAGCTTTCCATTGCGGGGGTGTGGGGATTTACTACTAATTGCTTCAGACATCCGAAAAACAAATCATACTCTTCTTTATTAAGGGTAATATAGGGAACATTCTGTCTTATTCTTTTCGGGTTCCTAAGCAATAGTAGTTTAGGGTTTGGGGTTTGTGCAAGAAGGTTGTGCAGAGGGGGATTTGGGCTTTGGGATGCTCATAAGGTTTATGAAACGGGGCTTCTTAGTGGGTGGGGTGTTAGGCCCGCGGGCTTGTATCTATAAGGTTGGGGCGTTTAGGCTTGCTCTAAGGCTGGCTGGAAGATGGGGGGGTTCTGCTTCTTTGGGGGAGGCCTTTTTGGATCGTGGGCTTCTTCATGATTTAGGCGATGACATTGGCAAGCTTGTTGAGAAATGGCCCGGGTTTAGGGTTTAGGGTTTAGGGGTGAGACAGAGCTTAGGGGTTTTCTGCCTTGCCGATGAGGAACAGATAGGGGCTTACGTTGTGCTTGCAGTTAGGCACACGTGAATCCATGCGTAGGATACGCAAAGCCCACAGGTCAACTTCTTGAAAACGTTGCACATCTTCGTAGAAGAGTAGGGAACCTTTAACCTTTTTGAGGAAGTAGAATCCCCCTATAAATCCCAAAGGATCACCTTTAGTTCTCCTAGGTACTGGACAACTAAGACATGCTAGCCACCACTGCAGAGCCTTATCCTTATCCCCGCGCCCGCTGTCTCCGTGGTCTCCAGGTCCCAATCCTCGAGCAGCCCCTCGTTTAATATAGGGGTCGGAATAATTACTATTAGTATTCCCTCATTGTCCCTTTGTAAATATACTACAATAACCCCCAAAACCCATTCTAATTATTCAGGCCCCTCGTTTAGGTTTCAGGGTTCGGGCTTTACATGGGTAGGTTTGAACAGAATTTTTTGTTTCTAGTGCCACCTAGAATCCTTGCATAAAGCTTTAAAGGCCTGAATAAAAAAGTAATTCTTTATAGGGCCCCCAGGCCTGCCCCAGAGAAGCTTCTTGATCCTTGGCTCCTGCTTTGCCGAGCTTGCCGCAGGAAGCGTAGCCGGCAGTAACCGCGAAGGCTGGGATTAGAATGGGCCTAAAAAACCCGAAACCCTAAACCCTAAAGGGCAAAAGAACCCTAAACCCTGAACCCTGAACCCTGAACCCTAAACCCTAAACCCTAAACCGCAGCAGGACCTCCATAGAGTAGGAGGGGAAAGAAGGGAGTACATGGACCGGTCCTTGGGGAATAAGCTGTGCAACAGCTTCCTTTCTGTTGTAGAGGGGTGAGCCCTAAACCCTAAACCCTAAACCCTAAACCCAAAACCCTCAACCTTAGCCCACTTGAGCCACTCTGTCCAGCCCCCCTCCAAGCCGCACGAAGCCCCAACCTTTCTACAATCCTCTAGATGCCCTGAATCTCGGTAGTAGAGTAGGCAACTTTTAACCTTTTTTGGGCATTCTAATCCGAATAGAATCCCAAAGGTTAACCTTTAATTCCCCAGGTTGCTGGACAACGATCCCTAAACGCTACAACCCGAAATCCCACAAACCCAAAAACCCAAAAACCTACAGCCAAGTTCTATTGATCGAAGTATGGGCTCTTATTCTATTCAGATGTAAGGGTCATATACCCCTAAACCCTAAACCCTAAACCCTAAACCTTAACCCTTCTCTCTTCGGAGATGGAGATGGTGCAGGAGAAGCCCTAAACCCTAAACCCTAAACTCTAAACTCTAAACCCTATACTCACCCTAAACCCGGGGGCCTTGGGCCAGACTTGACCTCTGCCCCAGGCTCCAAAGAGCGCGCGGGCTCGATGGTTGAGTCCAAGGACTCGGGTGGCCTTGCGGGGTTTAGGGTTTAGGGTTTAGGGTTTAGGGTTTAGGGTTTAGGGTTTAGGGTTTAGGGTTTAGGGTTTAGGTTCAGGGGTTAGGGGTTTAGGGTTTAGTGTTGAGGGTCGTCAACGAGGCCTGATGAAGCGGGTTTACTTGTTACTCTTTGCTGAAGAACCCCCTACAAAGACACAAAGATATTCTTGCTTATAGACAGGGATTATTTTCCTGTACTTGTTGTGAGTTGACAGGCTTTGAGTACCCCTTGTCTGGCGTTAGGCTTTACAGCTGAGGGTAAGAATTGGGTTTAGGGTTTAGGGTTTAGGTTTTAGGGGTTAGGGTTTAGGGTGGAACATGGGAGTGAGTTGGGTATTTTGAGGTTACTTAGTATCTACGCCAAACCTAAACCCCAATCCCGAAACCCTAAACCCTAAACCCTAAACCCTAAGAACCAGGAAAAGGCCGCAGATGGCGACGCCGCCTCAGCGGCTTCCACCGAGGTGTCGTTGAGGGTTTAGGGATTGGGGTTTAGGGTTTAGGGATTGGGGTTTAGGGTTTAGGGTTTGGGGTTTAGGATGCTTCATAGACGAGACCCATGTTCTGTTGGCTTTGGTGTTTTGTGAGCGTGTCGCTTGTATTCTTCTGCATCAGAACCGGGATCACAAGACGATGGTCTCAGTAGTAGAGTAGGTAACCTTCAACCTTTTTGGGACATTATACTCCCAATAGAATCGCACAGGGTAACCTTTAATCCCGCCAGGTTACTGGACAACTAAGAGAGTCGTGGCTTAGGGTTTTAGGTTTCAGGCTTCGGGGGTTGACTTGGCTGAGTTCCCCGCAAGCTTGTCCTAGTCTGGGTTTAGGGTTTAGGGTTTAGGGTTTAGGGTTTAGGGTTTAGGGTTTAGGGTTTAGGGTTTAGGGTTTAGGGTTTAGGGTTTAGGGTTTAGGCAGCCGAAGGCTTCGAAAGGTGTAGGGTAATCTGGCCAGGATCGCAGGCTGGCTTTCTGGCACCAGTGTACACGTTTAGCGATATTTACGGCTTTTATAAGTTTAGGGTTTAGGCTTTAGGGTTTAGGGTTTAGGGTTTAGGGTTTAGGGATACTAGGACCCAGACTAGGCCCAGATTGCCGTTTTTTAGGGTTCCGCGGCTCGGGTTGGTGCAGTTGCAGTTGTTCTGTTATTTTGTTATGATTCTACCATATTTTAAGTTATTCTGATATTTTGCTATATCATTCTAGTCGTGTAGCTCTCAAGACTCGACGGTAAGCCCAAAGTCTTCTTGCTGTTCCGGGTTTTCGGGTGAAGGGCCGGACTTCTTTGCATCCAGTCCGCTCTCGAAGCCTGCGGCCTCCGGCTCGACCTGCAGAAAACGCAGGTACGGCGCCACTCGGAAACGCTCAAAGCTGGGTGTGACTTTGCCATCCCAGAAGACCATGATCTCCACCAGGTGACCTGCTGCACCCACACCGCCCACTTGTGCAAACCCCTGCAGTTTCTGGTTTAGGGTTTAGGGTTTAGGGAGAAACGTCGTGTGCCCTGCAATTTGTGCCTTGGGCTTCTCTGCTGCAGCCTCATCCTCGCACCTGGGGGTCCGAAGATTTGCTGAGCGGATGAAACCGAGGGATTCCAGAGCTGGACAGTGCAAACCGATGTGTGCGCAGGTGGCCTGGACTTCTTCAAACATGTTCGCACATAGCATCGCATACATGGATCGTCCTGCTCCACATGGCCCAAGAAGGAGAAGCACACAATGCAAACGCAATCTAGCTCAGTTTTCAGACTGACCAAATACTCCTGGTAGATGTCGTTCCTGAGAAGTTTTCCGATCAGGTTGTGGCTCTCGTGGATCAGTCATGAGTGCTGGGAGGGGCATTGGGGGTTTAGGTTGTGTGCTTCAAGTGCCTTGACCCAAGTAGACTTTCGAAGGTGCTGCTTCAAGGCTCCGAGGTTATAACCTATAGTCCTAACCCCTAAACTATTGGGTTCCGGTGTGTAGAGAGCTGCTGGAGGTCGAAGCACCGCCGGTCATTGTCAGCATAAGCAAGGAGACCATCAAGAAGATCTTCTCGAGGCCCAAGACGTTGAAAAAGCCTGAGAATTTGTTTAGGGTTTAGGGCTTAGCGAAAAGTCACCAGCATCCGTGTGCTCACAGTTTCAGGCGATTGCACAAGTCCTGACGCAAGAGGGTTTAGCGAAATCCTACACCCTCTACCCTCAAGCCAAAAAAACCCTCAACTCCAGACTCTTAAACCCCTACCCTAAACCCTAGACCCTAAACCGGCAACTGAACTCTAGGCTCCCAATGCCAAGCTATCTTATCCTACTGGTTTGTAGTACACTGAGGGTTTAGGGTTTAGGGTTTAGGGTTTGGGGAGCCAGGTACCTTATATCTTCAAGGGAGTATCTAGGGGTGCCTCATTCACTCATTCCCTACAAAGAAGCAGTAAGTTTTCTTGAGCTCAGGGTGCTGAAGCAGGCTGAAGGAAACCCTAAACCCTAAACCCTAAACCCCAGTCATAGGCTTCAAGGTTGTGCCCTCAACCCTAAACCCAAAACATGTGACCTGGCGGCGATTGGGTTTTTGCCTACCGGTTAGGTTTGCCGAAGTACCGAGCATTTCGTTGTGTGAGCCACGGGCTGAGGTTCCCAGAGAGCCCAATATCCCTCAATTAAGGAATAGACCATTCAATCATACTCAGGGCCCCTAATCGGCTTGAGGTCTTACCCTAAACCCTAAACCCTGCACCCTAAACCCTAAACCCTAAACCCTAAGGGCTCTGGGGGGCGAAACCCAAATCTGCTTGAACACATCTGAGTGCGGCGCGACTCAGCCGTACCTTGCACGGCACAACCTGCATGCCCTGAGTCCTGGAGCCCCTTTACCCAGAGAGCCCGGAAGGAAGGAATAGCGAGACCTTAGACCATATAAGAGGCTTTAGGGTTTTGGGTTTTGGGTTTAGGGTGCCATTAGGATGAGTCAAGGCATATTACTTAGTTAGAGGGAATTGGGCTCTTTGGGAGGCTAGCTGCCCATGAGCCCTGAAGATTTTTTACCCAAGGCTCGCAAGGCCCTAAACCCTGAAAACCTGGGAGGTTCGACTTGAATGGAAATGGCACTATCGAGACTTGGAGCCAACCTTCAGCTATTGCCTTCACTGACACTACACTACAGTCCCCCAAATGTGTGCATGCACACTGTCAAGCCTTAAACCCACTCAAGCGGCTGGGTTCCTTCGTGAAGGGTAAAGACTCTGGCCCTCGCCTATCTGCGGCATTTTGGTTTCGTTGTTGCCATGTGGGCATATAGCACTAGTTAAATGTACGCGTCATCGCATGTGCCAAATCGTGTTTTCATGCTGCGGTAACATTGCAGGGACCTGCTTCGAGGTTCATGTCAGTTAATGGGTAGCTTTAAGGAGGGTCATCAAGTATTACAGCTCTACTTACCCTAAACCTTGGACCGTAAACCTTAAGGCGCTATAGCTTCTAACCCTACTTATAGCTACCCAAATGGCCTCAAAACCCTTAACCATAACCCTATTCAGACCACTTACAACCCTACTTATAACTACCCAAGTGAAGCCGAAACACTCAACCACATCCCTACAAGGGAAACCTGAAACGGGACCTTTGGGGGTTATTTGGGGTTTTGGGGGGGCTACTTAAGAACATAGGGACTACATGAGGTATACATAGGGGATAGGTAGGGAAGTTTGACTCAGGGTCCCTTCTAGGACTTCTAGGGGTCCCTCCTTTTACCCGTATTTGGTATATAGGGACGATATAAGGTACATTTTAGGGTTTAGGGTTTAGGGTTTAGGGTTTTTACCCCTTCAACCCTACTTCTAACGGCCCAAATGAGCCTCCGAGTTTGGCCTTTTAGGCTCTATTGTCGTCTTTTTAAACATGAATCGCAGTGAGAGGATCTGAGGTTTAGGGTTTAGGGTTATTGTTAGGGTTTAGGGTTTGGGGTTTAGGGCTTGGGATGCGCATGTCAGGGTCTCTGTTTCTGACGCCGAAAGGGATGTGGACCCGAGGTATCCCTTCGTACTGGCTACTTCGCACCTCCTATTCAACCCTAAACCCTAAACCGCCTAAACCCTAAACCCTAAACCCTGAACCCTAAACCCTGAACCCTGAACCCTGAACCCTAAACCCTAAATCCTGAACCCTGAACCCTAAACCCTAAACTCTTAACCGGAGGCCGAATATGTACCCCTCCCCCCGCCCCCACGTACGTAAGTCATAAGGAATACCTTCAACCTTTGTGCTACAAGCCTGTTTCCTAGTAGGGAATGAGGGACTTAAGTGCCTTATATCCCCCCACATATACCCTAAACCCTAAACCCTAAACCCTTTCAGGGAATATATTGGGTCTCTCGCTCCCTGCCAAGAACCATTAAGATCCCCCCCTGGGGATCCTGAACACCCCCTCCCCCCCGAACAGCAAGTTTAGGGTTAGGGTTGATTGGGATCTTTTGGGCTTATAGGGTTTAGGATAGAGGGTTTAGGGTTTAGGGTTTAGGGTTTAGGGCAGAACATGGCAGCGCTGGTCAAGGAGATGTCCGAGCTAGCAATGGTCTTTCAAATCCTTGCTCCCCGCCACTGGGCTCTGAGGGTTCAACCCTAAACCCTAAACCCTAAACCCTGAACCCTAAACCCCCGGGTGTGGGGGCTTAGGGCTAGGGTTGAGGGTTCCTTCAGTCAACCCTTGGGGCTTCGCGATTCTTACCACCACTCTCAAAGGATATAAGGAGGAACCCCTAGAAGGGACCCTTACCAGGACGGGCAATTAGGCCCTACAATCCCCATAGTCAACCCTGTAAAGTGCCTTTTTGAAGGGGTTGTAGGGTATAATTGCCCGTCTTGGTAGTCGACAGATTGTTCGTAGGGTGTGACGCTTCACCTGATTTCTCAAGCCCTTGAGAAATACTTGGAGGTTCATGAGTCATAACAAGTAGGGTTAGAAGTACTTGGAAATAGGGTCAGAAATAGAGATACCATACTGCTAACCCTACTAATTTTGACTTCCCTTTAGGGTTTTTGAGGCTTCGCAGCAGACCTTGAAAAACGGAGCGCTGGAGGTTTGGGGGTTCCAGCTTGGAAGCCCGGAAGCCGGTTTGACTAACTGGGTAGCAAGGAGGGGGCCCTAAACCCTAAACGCTAAACCCTAAACCCTAAACCCTAAACCCTAAACCCTAAACCATACTGAAAGTAGACTTACAGTCAAAAGGGCTTCCAAGAGGGGTAGGCGCAGGATTTGCCCTGGACTCCTGGTGAAGCATGTCTTGGTGGAAGTAGTAGTTTCTTCTCTGGTGATGCTGCGGCAGGTCTTCCAGTGTTGAGTTGCTTTTGTTTTCCGGTGTTCGGGTTTAGGTTTTGCGGGAAGGGGGGGTGCAGTACACAGGCTTGTTTTGGGTGACCCTTGCGTGAGGTTCGGGCACTACAGGGAAGCTCCCTTAGCCGGGAATATCCCAAGTTCTGACTCACAACCCAGTGTCGGGACCTTATAAGTTCTGCGTACAGTACGCAGCCTCTCCTAAACCCTAAACCCTAAACCCTAAACCCTAACCCTAAACCCTAAACCCTAAACCCTAAACCCTAAACCCTGTTTCCGAGTGGGCTTCGGGTCCGCAGCCTCTGAGGCCAGTGGTCCACAAATGCCATCAAGAGGCTCTTTGATGGAGCCTCGGGATGCAGGTGAGCTTAAGAACCCCCCCCCCCCAAAAAAAAAAAAAAAAAACAAAAAAAATAGAGAGAATTAAACAAAACTATTCTTCCTTATTAAGGGTAACATAGGGATTGTTAGGTGAGTTTAAGAACCCCCCAAAAACTATAAAACATATTTTCCTTGTTAAGGGTAATATAGGATCATTTTTTGTTTGGGAGTTCTTAAGCAAACAGTAGGTTTAATTGCAGCATTCCTTTTTACTGGGTATGCCCTGGGATATTTTCTACGCTTTCCCTTATTCGGTTAAGGCGGATCGTAGTTAGGAGTAGTTTGTCACATGGTTTTAAGGACCTACCTAGCTCATGCCCAGACATTCCCAGAGACTCCAAACCCCTTAATCAAGGAACATACCTTAAATCATATTCGGGGTCCGATTATGACTTAAGGGATACTCCTTACTTCAGCGGTGTTTTGGAGTCTCTGGGTTCTTTCTACAAGTCCATCCAGCCTCATTACGATGAAACCCTAAACCCTAAACCCTGAACCCTAAACCCTAAACCCCACCCATGTACATTGTTTCGAAAATGTGGGTTTTGGCATGTTTGGCCCAGTGACATAAATCTTTGACCGCCGCCAGGATGCCAGGAATATGGGGTCAGAATAAGGGTTTTGGGTTTTGGGTTTAGGGTACTACTTGGAGGTTCATGATACTTGTTGACCAATGATAACTGTACTTACAACCCACTTATAAGCCCCTTAAGTGCCCTGATTTGGTTACAAGTACAGGTATAAGTGCAATTATTATTGGCTATAATAAGTGCCATGAACCTCCAAGTAATCTTCTTCCCCTAGGGTCTCTTTATCACACAAGAAAAACCTCCACAACCCCATTCTAATTATACCCTAAACCCTAAACCCTAAACCCCAAACCCTAAACCCTAAACCCTGTATTACTCAATGTTGGGTGGCGATCTTGGGTGGATGAGCGTTAGTGGGTGGTGCAAGATTTCCTCCATCCACAGTAGGTTGTACACTTACAACCCCATTTAGGGGTGCTTAAACCTACTGATTTCTAGAAGCCCTAAGAGCCTATATCCTAAACTGCCCTTAGCCCTAAACTCCACCGTTTGTAGCGCGGCTTCGGCGAAACGGCGCAAGTGGAACAGAGATGGCTCTGAGTATCCACAAATCTCGAACAGCCCCCTGGTCCCGTAGAAGGTTCGAAGAAGCATCCATAACCGTATGCTGAAAAGGAAGAAAATCATTAACAAGAACAATAATTTGAAGAGCTGTATCATATATATATATGTATGTATTTACATATATATATATATGTACATATTCTCTCTCTCTCTCTCAGTATTGCTCATGGATAGTGTGTACTCGAATCAGCGTCCCTTACAGATGCGGTAAGTTCGACGTCCCAGCCCAGCCTGGCAGCTGGTTGCAGTCCGATGCGTCCCGTTACTTCTTTCATGTCTTTGGTTTTGTTTCGGGCAGGGTCATCGTTCCCTTATAAAGTAACCAACACATTTGTTTGGTACCCTTACCAGCGTCTTCGCGGGAGCCACACACGCTGAGCCGAACTTGAAACCCCTTTTGACTTAGTAAGTATGACTCCCCATAAACCACCCTACTTACTAAGTCAAAAGGGCTTCCACGTATCTAAGGGTAGTTACACGGTCCCTTAATATGGTCCCTTACCTCCTTTAAAGAGTTCTGGAAAAATGGGACCTTGGGTTTTTAGAGGGTATATAAAGGGTCCCCTGTTTAAGGGCCCATATTATGGGACCATGTAGCTACCCTAAACCCTAAACCCTAAACCCTAAACCCTAAACCCTAAACCCTAAACCCTACTCAGGAATGGATATCAATGAGGACGGCCATGTCCAGTTCACCGAGTTCATCGAGTGGATTTTCGACACAGGCCTGAAACACTCGGGAACCCGGATTGCCAGGGATTTGGGTTTAGGGTTTAGGGTCTAGGGTTAGGGTTGAGGGTTTAGGGTTCAGGGTTTAGGGTTCTTCCAGGAAAACCTGCAACTCTAAACCCTAAACCCTAGAACCAGCCCTCGAAACCCGCGGAGGCTCGGATTCTTGAGAGCAGGCCAGCTCACGTGAAATCCGCCAGCTGCAACTCCACACCTCCCAGAGACATGGAGGATTGACTTTAGGGTTTAGGGTTTAGGGTTTAGGGTGGTCGAAACTACTGATAGGGGTTGAAATTGTTGCTAATAGTATTACCTTCTGGCTCCTATATACTTACACTAGGATAACCCCACAAGACGCTATTCTAATGATTCAGGCCCCCCCCCCCCCCCCCCCCCCCCCCCCCCCCCCTCCCCCCCTCCTCCCCCCCTATATTGCAGGGTTTAGGGGTGGCATGTTGGGTCCCTAAACCCTAAACCCTAAACCCTAAACCCTAAACCCTAAACCCTAAACCCCCAAAGAGATTTCCCGAAATTCTGCATGTCAACCTTTGCCCCCCTCCCCTCAGAACCCCTGCCTTCCCCCAAACCCCAGAACCCCTCCGCTAACTCCTCAACTCTAAACCCTAAACCCTAGACCCTAAACCCTAAACCCTACGGGTTGGCGGTGTCTTTAAGTAGGGTTTCTGTTTTAGATAATTCGGGGTTCTTATAAGGGCATCTAGGGGGCGATATGAAGGTATCGGTATCAGGGTAACAGTAAAGAGGCCACCGGCCTTTATAACCTAAACCTAAACCCTAAACCCTAAACCTAAACCTGCTAAATCGTGCAGGCACCAACTCGTTCAAGGGCGCACTGGAGATTGCTGAGACCCTCGGCGAGATCTTGGGATTTGTTGGCTTCCCCTCCTTGACTCCCTGCGGCTTCCCTAAACCCTGAACCGTACACCCTACAAACCCTAAACCCTAAACCCTAAACCCTAAACCCTAAACCCTAAACCCTAAACCCTAAACCCTAAACCCTAAACCCTAAACCCTAAACCCTACCGACCCTAAACCGGGACCAGCCCAGGACCAACGATGGCGCACGGACCCTCGAGTGGTCCGTGGCACCCACGGCTGCGCTTGTGGAAGGTTTAGGGTTTGGGGATTTAGGGTTTAGGGTTTAGGGTTTAGGGCAGGGTTCAGGGTTTGGGGTTTGGGGTTTAGGGTTTGGGGTTTGGGGTTTATGGTTTGGGGTTTAGGGTTTGGGGTTTAGGTTTTAGGCTGAGTTCGGGGTTTGGGGTTTGGGGCCCAAACATCCCAATACCCTCGAAGTAAGGAATCTTCCCTGAAATGATACTAAGGTTCCCCGTTTTGTTTCAGGTGTATTCCTTCGTTTAAGGGATATGGGGTTCTCTAGGCTTAAGGTTTAGGGTTAAGGGCTTGAGGTTTGTTTTTTTTGGATTTGGTGTTTCGGTTTCTTTGGAGTTCTTCTTGCCCGACAGTTCGAACAGGCCTGGATGCAAAATGATTCAAAAAAACAAGTGAACTACAATAAAGCGTCCAGATCAACCAGAAAACTCATGAAAGTCCTTGGTCCTGGCGACGTCCTGTCGGACCCCGTTGTAACAGATTCTTTCAGCGGGCTAGGCCATAGAACCTAGATCCAAAGACAGCAGTAAGACGAAGGCAGACATCCAGCTGCCGATCACGGCACCCGACATCCGAGCAGAGTTGGAGATCATTGACGGCTTTGCCATCGAGGAGTTGGGGGGTTGTTGGGTGCCTAATTTCTAGAAGGTCGCGAAAATGCGGTCCCTTTTGGGGCCCTGATTATAAGGCGGCGCCCATTATTTATGGTACCTAAAGGGGCCATAATTTTGAAAACTTACCAAATTCTAAATGGCTTGACAGGTTTCTGGCCAAAGTTAGGCATAGCTCAGGACGCATGCAGAGTGCCTGTACACCTCGGCAGTACCAGCATCCAGCAGAGAATTCCTGCAGACATCGGTGTGCAGGCACCAGCTCACAAGCAGGACGCAAAGACCAGCACTTCAAACCCTAAACCCTGAGTCTGCAACAGTTCCCCACGGGAGAGTTGGGGAACCCTAAACCCTAAACCCTAATCCCTAAACCCTAAACCCTAAACCCTAAACCCTCTGTTGAGGACGAGATCAAGAAGATGGACCCCTACGACCTCAAGAAGCTCGAGCTGATTACAGCGCCCCGGCCGTTGAGAAACCCCAGAAGAAGGTGGGGTTTGGGGTTTAGGGTTTAGGGTTAGGGTTTAGGGTTTAGGGTTCTACATGACGTGGTGGGAGGAGGAGGTGTCTTCTTGGAGAACAAAGGTAAGGGTTTAGGGTTCAGGGTTCAGGGTTCAGGGTTTAGGGTTCAGGGTTTAGGGTTTAGGGTTTAGGGTTTAGGGTATCCCAGGAGAAGTCAGCCCACTATAATATAGGGTTTAGGGTTTAGGGTATAGGGCTCGAGACTAAAGACAGCATAAGTTTTACTTGGAGCGTCGAGACGGGAAGTGAGACCTACACGGGAGGAGCTGCCCTACGATAGAAATACTATGCTTGAGGGACTTCTGATCTTACTCGAAGGTTCATGGGTAGGAAGTGCTCTTCAGAGTTTCAGCAGAAGGATAGTTCTCATACGCATAAGCCTACTTATACCTACATACCCATGAACCTCCAAGTAGTTGTAGATTTGTTGATGCAATCAGGGCCCTTTCAAGTCTCTCAAACATGGGGCCCTCAACCCCAATCCTGAAAGAAAATCCAAAAGCCCTCCCAAAAAGCCCACAATCTACAACCCCCCCCAACCCCCCCACCCACCCCCACCCCCCCCCCCCCCCCCCCACCCCCCCCCCCCCACCCCCCCCCACCCCCACCCCCCCCACCCCCCCCCACCCCCCGCCCCCACCCCGCCCCCCACCCCCCCCCCCCCACCCCCCCCCACCCCCACCCCCCCCCCCCCCCCCCACCCCCCCCCCCCCACCGATCCGGGTACTTAAAACCCTTATGACAACTGTACTTATAAGTTCCCTAAGAAGGTTGCAAGTAGACTTACAACTGTGGTTACACGTGTGATAAGTACCCATGAACCTCCAAGTATCCCCGATAGCCCCGGTTTTAACGTATCTTCCCAAACCCTGAACCCTAAACTGTAAACCCTAAACCCTAAACCTTGCTTAAGGGCCCTTGGGGTGTTCCTGGGAACCTCACAAGGTGGTGCCCGACCCCATCCGGAGAGTCCTTGAGGCGGTGCATCACGGCTGCAGGTGAGGGTTTAGGGTTCAGGGTTCAGGGTTTAGGGTTTAGGGTTTAGGGTGCAAAAGTCAGACCCTTTAGGGTTTGCGTTCCGTTTAAAGGCTCTAGGTCTAATTTCTGTATTAATTTCCTTCTTTCGTTCTTTATGTCTTTCTTTATTTCCTCTTTACTTTCTTAATTTCTTTCTTCATTTCTTCCTTCCTTCCTTCCTTCCTTCCTTCCTTTCTTCCTTTCTTCCTTTCTTCCTTTCTTCCTTTCTTCCTTTCTTCCTTTCTTCCTTTCTTCCTTTCTTCCTTTCTTCCTTTCTTCCTTTCTTCCTTTCTTCCTTTCTTCCTTTCTTCCTTTCTTCCTTTCTTCCTTCCTTCCTTCCTTTCTTCCTTTCTTCCTTTCTTCCTTTCTTCCTTTCTTCCTTTCTTCCTTTCTTCCTTTCTTCCTTTCTTCCTTTCTTCCTTTCTTTCTTTCTTCCTTTCTTCCTTTCTTCCCTTCCTTTCTTCCTTCTTCCTTTCTTCCTTTCCTTTCTTCCCTTCTTTTCTTCCTTTCTTCCTTTCTTCCTTTCTTTTCTTTTCTTTCCTTTCTTCCTTTCTTCCTTTCTTCCTTTCTTCCTTCCTTTCTTCCTTCCCTCCCTTCCCTCCCTTCCCTCCCTTCCCTCCCTTCCCTTCTCTTTCTTCCTTTCTTCCTTTCTTCCTTTCTTCCTTTCTTCCTTTCTTCCTTTCTTCCTTTCTTCCTTTCTTCCTTTCTTCCTTTCTTCCTTTCTTCCTTTCTTCTTTTCTTCCTTTCTTCCTTTCTTCCTTTCTTCCTTTCTTCCTTTCTTCCTTTCTTCCTTTCTTCCTTTCTTCCTTTCTTCCTTTCTTCCTTTCTTCCTTTCTTCCTTTCTTCCTTTCTTCCTTTCTTCCTTTCTTGCTTTCTTGCTTTCGTCCTTTCTTCCTTTCTTCCTTTCTTCCTTTCTTCCTTTCTTCCTTTCTTCCTTTCTTCCTTTCTTCCTTTCTTCCTTTTTTTTTTCGTCCTTTCTTCCTTTCTTCCTTTCTTCCGTTCTTCCTTTCTTCCTTTCTTCCTTTCTTCCTTTCTTCCGTTCTTCCTTTCTTCCTTTCTTCCTTTCTTCCTTTCTTCCTTTCTTCCTTGCTTCCTTGCTTCCCTGCTTCCTTGCTTACTTTCTTCCGTTCTTTCTTTCTTCAACATTGACATATCCAGTATGGGCCCTGCAAATCCAGAATGGCCCCTGCAATGTGGAGCTGAAGGCAGAAAAAAACACAACAACTACTAGTTGCTTAAGAGCCCCAAAGAATAAGGAAAAACAAATAGTAGCCCCTACATTGCCCGTATAAGGATTTTTTTTGAGGGGGGGTTCTTAAGCAACTACTAGACTACTTGAAGGTTTTCGGTACTTACTAACCAATTATAACTCTACTTATATCTGTACTTAGAAGCCCCTTAAGTGCCCTAATATGGTTATAAGTACAGTTATAAGTACAGTTATAATTGGTTAGTAAGTACCTTGAACCTCCAAGTAAGGGATTTGCTGTTGCTGCCATAAAAAACTCAAACCCTAAACCCTAAACCTTAAACCCTAAACCGTGAGGTATTTGCTGTTGCTGCCATCTTCGGGTCTGCCATCCATCAGCGCTCTGACCCCGCCCGAGTGGTCGGGCATCCAAGACATGCTGAAAGACAGACGCTCGGCGATGGATGCGGTTTAGGGTTTAGGGTTTAGGGTTTAGGGTTTAGGGTTGGTATGGTTGCAGCAGTCAACGATACACACGGGGCTTGCAGGGTTTCAAGGAGAAGTTAAGTTGGGCGTTTCCGAAATCAAGAGTACCTTATTGGGATCTCAAATTCTAAGGGAATCCTACTCTTTGGAGGACGATACTGGCCTTCCCAAATTTTTGTAAACCCGCAGTTCTTGTTAGTAACGTGAACTTCATCGAGCTTGGCAGCGTGGCAAAGGCAAGTAGTAACAGAATCTCTTTAAAATGGCTCAATTGCAGCAAGACACCGTAAAACCATCACAAGAACCTAAACGCTCGTTTGGGATGTAGAAGTATTCCTTAAACCCTATAAAGAGCCCTTCTATACTTTAAGGAATGTTCTTTTAAAAAGGGGTATTGGAGTCTCTGGGCACAGATTCACTCAACTTCCCCGAGCCCTTTTGGCCGCACCTTGTTTAGGGCTTAGAGCTGGGATGCTTAGAGGAAAGCCCTAAACCCTAAACCCTAAACCCTGGGGGTGCTTGCCTTTCGAGGCTCCATGTCCCAGCGGGTCATGAACTTCAAGGCCAGAAAGGCAGGGTCGCTGGGATGCGCAGCTCCTTTGTGATGGGTGTCCTAGAGCCCGAGACCCGTCTGAAGAGCCTTTACTAGGCTCCTGCATGTGATCCAAAAATTCGGAAATTTGGGGGCGGGGGGGGGGGGGGGGGGGGGGGGGGGGGGGATTTCAGATTTCAATTTCGGCTCCCCCCCCCCCCCCCCCCCCCGAGTGAGTGCATTCGGGGCTGGGAGAGGGTGGGTCCGGACATGGACACCCTAAACCCTAAACCCTAAACCCTAAACCCTAAACCCTAAACCCTAAACCCTAAACCCTAAACCCTAAACCCTAAACCCTAAACCCTAAACCCTAAACCCTAAAACCCTAAACCCTAAACCCTAAACCCTAAACCCTAAACCGAGACCCCTAAAGCAACGAACGACCATGAAGCCCTTCAGGCATCCTAACCTTCAGCTACCAACACCGAAAGCCCCAAAAGGCCCAAGGCTCTGAAACACCATATCCCTACTTGGAAGCACTCTTTGACTTAGTAAGTGGGGTGGGTAAGTTTGGTGAAAAGTGTTTTTTTTGGTGGGGGGGGGGTGGGGTTCTAGGGATACGAAGAAGACTTACGATGTCAAGACGGCTTCCAAGCAATTAATGCCTGGAGCCCTCCCTAAACCCTATACCCTAAACCCTAACCTTAAACCTTAAACCCTAAACCCTAAACCCTAACCCTAAACCCTAAACCCTGAAACCCCCGCGTGGAGGAAGAGATGAAGACGCGACCGCTCTGGGGCAGCTATGCAGCCAGGCGGTCCCTGGCACGCAAGGATGGAGCCCTTTCGAAGATTTCGGGCGCCTAGGGTGTATTGGGTTTAGGCTTTATAGGGTTTAGGGTTGAGGGTTGAGGGTTTAGGGTTTATAGGGTTTGGTGTGTATAGGGTTTAGGGTTTATAGGGCTTTCAGGGATTAGGGTGTCAAGGCTTAGGGTACAGGGATTTCTCATGAAGGGTGTTTAGGGTTGTTGGGGTTTTCGGTGTGTGTTTTGGGTCTGTGTGTTGCTAGTTGAAATGTGATGGGAGAGGCAACCCGTAGAAGTAGAGCTGTACGGGCCTTACTTTTTCGTTATGCATAGTACAAATTGGCTCTAAGTTTCTTAGGCATGCTTAAAAGAGAAAGGGGCCCCCTCTTAGCAGTCTCGAGGTCGGGTGTTGGAGTTGGGGTTTAGGGTTTAGGGTTCAGGGTTCAGGGTTCAGAGTTTTGGGTTTAGGGTTTGGGGTTTAGGGTTTAGGAATTAGGGTTTAGGCTTTAGGGTTTAGGGTTCAGGGTTTAGGGTTGTTGCTTCAAGCCTCGCGCGCGCTTGCCGGGGGTCAGGTTTGAGGGCGTGACCTGCAAGAGGTTGAAGCAGCTGGTTCTTGTCTTCTTCCGGGGGGCCTGGCTACCCTAAACCCTAAACCCTAAACCTTAAACCCTAAACCCTAAACTGGCTAACAAATAGGTTTACGTCAGCCTGGCTGATCAAGTTGCGCTCTCAGCTGCTGAGCAGATAGCCCTCGACCTTTTCTGACCCTTACTTAAAGATTCATGGTACTTACTAACCAATAATAACTGGACTTATAACCCCACTTATAATGCCCCTAAAGGCCTTCTAGTGGTTATCCCAATTATAAGTAGGGTTATATTCCCAGTTATAAGTGGTTAGTAAGTACCATGAACCTTCAAGTAAAGCCCGAAGATCAACCTAACGTGGGTTCCCCTACTGGCCCCCTCTACACTACCCCCCCCGCCCGCTAGGTTCCCCCGATAATTCAGACCATTTAGGGATAATTAAGCCTAATTGAGGTCATTGAAGGGGGGAACCTAAGGGGCAGTATGGACCCTAAACCCTAAGCCCTAAACGCTAGTTGGGAAACCCATGAACCCTGTTTCTCCTAGCACACTCCAAGCGTTGTCCCCAGCGCTGGCCCCAGCCCTCACGACCAGAGTGCGGGGCACAGGTTTTTCACCGTGGAGAAGGCGCGCACGCACGCCTGAATCCTTGAATCCCCAGCCCTGCATGGGTGGTTGTCAAAATTAGGGTTCCTTGTTGGACACCCTAAATATTAGGTGCCGTAGTATATTAGGGACCCCAAAAGGGACCATAACTTTGACAACCACACGCATATGAGGGTTGCTTTGTGTCGTGATACCATAAGCCCTACAGCAGACCAGTCTCTTCTGGACACCCCTGAACATACAACTTCTCTCCGTGGAAGGCAAGAAGCCCTACGGGGGCCGTAGGGATTCTTGGAGGTTCATGAGTACTGAGAAGCATTTCAAAGGACTTCTGATACTTCGAGCCCTTTTTTTGAAGTACTTCTAACTTGTAACCCTAAGCCCTAAGCCCTAAACCCTAAACCCTAACCCGCTTACAACTACCCATGAATCTCAAAGTAACAGGTTCTGGGGAGGCCGAGTGCTTATTCGAGATAGAGAGAATCCACCGACCCTCAGTCGGCCCTTCGTGTCGTCTAGACAGAAAGAAGGGTACCCTCTGGGTTTAGGGTTTAGGGTTTGGGGTTTAGGGTTTAGGGTTTAGGGTTTGTTTTCCTGCCTAACTCTGGAAGCTAGTTCGGGTTTGGGACTGTTCCTGGGTCCCTGTCACTCAGCGATTGGTGGGGTTAGGGTTCATCGCTGAGGGGTTTAGAAAGGAACCTTAATCTTATTCTCCTATATACCCGCTATATATACACCTTTTTGGGTGTTGGGATTGGTGCTTGTCAGCCTGGAAGCCTAGGTGTGGTCCGCGGGGAGGGTGTCAGGAAAGCATGGGAAGCGATTTCGAAACCCGCATTAAACCCTAAGCGTTTAGTCGCGAAGGTCCTCTGCATCCCGTCCCAGTAAAATGCCCTTGATTCTGAAGCCAGGTGAAGCTTTGGGCTTTACCTGGTGTTTACGGTTTAGGGGTCTTGCCGCCTACCTTAGGGCTACATGCCGGGGCTAATTCCGTACATAGGGACTACATAAGGTATATAAGATTAAGGGTCCATTCTCGGGGGTCCCTCCGTATACCCCTTAAGAGCCAGAAGTCTGGGTAGCCAAGTCTCCCTGCCCGGCGCCCCCCCCCCCCCCCCCTAAACCCTATACCCGAAACCCTAAACACTAAACCCTAATAAACCCTAAGCCCTGAACCCTGAACCCTAAACCCATTCTTGGCGGCACCTTGGGCAGGTTGACGCCGATATTGCGGAGCTTGAGGGGGATCCACCGAGGCCCCGCAGGGTTTAGGGTTTAGGGTTTAGGGTTTACCCATACTTTACGTTGGCCTTCCCTTGCGTGGTTGGGATTGGCAAAGCTGAGCACGCGTGGCTTCTGAAGGCCAGAAAGTGTCGTTGACATGAGGGGGCTGCATGCCCGTTCTGCTTAAAGAATTGGGCCACAACCTGACCACAAACACGAGGCCGGAAGCAACATAGCATAGGAATACTCAGTCACCCTGCAAAACATTCCCAAGCCCGAGCCCCTGCAACCAGGGAGCTAGGCCAACCCGGCCGCCCACAAGCATCCCCACTTGCTGCAGAGGCCCTTGAGCTACGAGCGGGTCGTGAGCTCCTGCCAATCTCTGCGCCTGGGCGCAATGAGACTGGAGGATCCTTAAGAATTGTATGGAAGCTTATGTGCTCTAGATACAGTCCAGGGGCCAGAGCTGTGTGTATACTATATATATATATATACATATATATATATACATATGCATGCATATATATATATACATTTATGTATATACATATATGTGTTCTGTAAAGTGCTTGTTATGTATTTATTGTGTGTTTTGTTGTTGTGCTTCCGGCAGCATGAGGCGGAGGGGCGTCGAAGTCCAGGGAATTGGGTGTCATGTTGTGATGTTCCCCCTTATGCTAACAGTCCTGAATAGGGGTTGTACCCTTAACCCTAATAGTACCCCCTTAGCACCCCAAACCCTAAATCCTACACCGTAAATAGTACCCCCTGTTAGAATCCCTATTAAGGACCGTTAGTATAAGGGGGAAACATCCCAAGTCTCATGCTGAGATGTGCGCAGCCTCTGCTCCCGGCAGCAGCTCTTTTGGGTTGATGGTTGATCTTTGGGGGGGGGGGGGGGGTTTAAGGTTTAGGGTTTAGGGTTTAGGGCTTTTGGGGGGGGGTGGGGGGGGGGTTTAGGGCTTAGGGCTTATAGGCCTTTGAAAGACGTAGGCCCGGGACCTCGAGTTCAGTTCGCATCCATCCTCCACCAAACAACTTGGGATGCTCCCCCTTATACTAACAGAGGCGTTAATAGGGAGGAGAATGCGGGGTACTATAATCCCTAGTAAGGGGATTGTTGGTATAAGGGTGAACATCCCAAAAATCAACCCTTAAATCCAGGCCCCCATTTCAGATGGGTGCGTTTCCACGAAGTAACCCACTGAAAAAAAAGTCCGAACGTAACCTGTATTTGTGCTGAGATACCCCTTACAATTGGAGTCTTATATAAATGGAGCTCCCTCGTTGAAGTTGTTCTTAACCAAACCTAACACCCAACAATCCAACTTACCCAACCTCCGAACCCGAAACCCCTAAACCCCTAAACCCTGAACCCTGAACCCTAAACCCAAAACCCTAAACCCTAAACCCTAAAACCCTAAACCCTAAACCCTAAACCCTAAGCCCTAAGCCCTAAACCCTAAACCCTCCCTAAACCCTAAACCCTAGAACCCCATCCAGAAGCTGCCCATGCAAACTTGGGATGTTGGATATCTTTCCCCTCCCCAAGTGGTCGAAGAGCATGCTATGCAGGATTGCGTCTTTTCTTCTGAGGCTTGAAGAGGCCTAAACCCTAAACCCTAAACCCTAAACCCTAAACCCTAAACCCTAGCTAAACCTCAACCTGCTGTTCAAGCTGGCAAGGTTTGGAGCAACTGCCTCCCGGCAATTCAGACCCCTAGGGTGCCAGGAGGGACTTCAGATCTAGGACCCAGAGTCGACCTTCATTCCCTTTTTTGTTTAGAGTAGGGTTTAGGGTTTAGGGTTTAGGGTTTAGGGTTTAGGGTTTAGGGTTTAGGGTTTAGGGTTTAGGGTTTAGGGTTTAGGGTTTAGGGTTCAGGGTTCCCTTGTAATCCCTTCTTCTTCATATGAATACCCAATACTCTAATTTCTCTTGGGCCTAGATGTACTTGGGCTGAAGGTTTACGGAAGGGGTAGTGTGCAAAGAGCGTGGTCTGGGGGTCGTGGTTTAGGGTTTAGGGTTTAGGGTTTAGGGTTTAGCGTCCCCCAAGTTTAGAAGCAGTGTTGTGGCCAAGACCCGGAGTGGGCTCGTGCTCCCTTTCGGCCACTTCTGTGTTCCTAGGTTGCTCCTGGGTCGAGCACTCAACCCTCAACCCTCAACCCTAAACCCCTTAACCGTAAACCGTAAACCGTAAATCCGAACCCCAAGCCTAAGCCCTGCACCCTAGCGGGTTATAAGGGTTTAGGGTTTAGGGTTTAGGGTTTAGGGTTTAGGGTTTAGCAGGTATTGTAACCCTGGGTTTGAAGTCCATTTCGCCATGGCAGAGGCAGAGTCAGGGGACTCCGGGCAGCAAGCCTTCGCAGTTCCGGGCTTTGCCATCCGTACCGCAAGCTAAGCTCACTCCAAACCCTAAAACCCGAAACTCGAAACCATAAACCCTAAAACCTCTAAAAAAAGGGGCCCGCAGTAACAGTACTCTACGAACTCTTGTCTTCTACCTCAGTTGCAGCGCTCAGAATCCTCTTTAGGGCCCTTCGAACTCTACTTATGTAGAAGTCAGGGTCAACGCCCCCCAGAATTGCGGTATATGCCTTAAACTCTTTGGTCCGCATGACCAGTTAAGGTGCATTCCCTCACTGAGGGGTATTGGGCTGAAACCCCAGCTGGGCATCAGGCAAAGAAGCCCCATTCCTGAGCTCTCTTCCTCAATGAAGGGATTAGGGTTTAGGGTTTAGGGCTTAGGGTTTAGGGCTAGGGTTTAGGGTTTAGGGTTTAGGGTTTAGGGTTTAGGGTTTAGGGCTTAGGGCTTAGGGCTTAGGGCTAGGGCTTAGGGCTTAGGGCTTAGGGCTTAGGGCTTAGGGCTTAGGGCTTAGGGCTTAGGGCTTAGGGCTTAGGGCTTAGGGCTTAGGGCTTAGGGCTTAGGGCTTAGGGCTTAGGGCTTAGGGCTTAGGGCTTAGGGCTTAGGGCTTAGGGCTTAGGGCTTAGGGCTTAGGGCTTAGGGTCTAGGGTTTAGGGTTTAGGGTTTAGGGTTTACCTCAGCCAGCTGACCTTCAGAGTCTGGGTTCAAAAAAGGGGTTTACCTCAGCTAAGGATGGCAAGAACCACGCCATCGTGCTCATGTACAAGTGGATCCTTGCTCTGCTGCCCATCTTTCGATGGGTTCTGGGGTATAGGGTTTACTTGGAGGTTCATGGTACTGAGTATCTACTTATAACTGGGCTTATAACCCTACTTATAATTGGGATAACCCCTACAAGGACCTTAGGGGAATTATAAGTAGGGTTAGAAGTACAGTTATAATTGGTTAGTAAGTACCATGAACCTCCAAGTAGGGTTGGGGCAGAACACCCCAGGAGACCTAAAGCGAAAGAAAGGGGTTTAGGGTTTAGGGTTTGGGGTTTAGAATTTAGGGTAAACGCCTGAAGCGTCAATCCGCCTTTCGATGCGTTCTGGGGTTTGCTTGGAAATTCAGGGGTACTTATATCGTAGGGTTACAAGTATGGCAGCCATACGAAAAGCAGTATTTAGCGCACACACACCCCTAAAGCCTTAAACCCCTCAAGTATGAAAGCCCTCATTGCGCCCTATACCCGCCTGAAAACCAGCTAACTTAGTCTTAGCAAATAGCATTCATGGCATTTCAAAAATCGGGGGTGTGCCTTAAAAACCAGCTAACTTAGTCTTAGCAGTAGCATTCTTGGCATTTCAATTATTGGGGGGTGTGCGAAAATATGCGAAAATAAGGGGCCCTTGAGATCGACCCCCAAATAGTAGGACTCCCTGAAAAGAAGGACCCCGATAAGGTACCCCTAAGTTCGGAAACCCACAAATGACGTCAACAAAGCTTCCAGCAATACTATAAGGGTCTAGCCCTAAACCCTAAACCCTGTTCTAATTCTTAAGGCCTCCCCCCCATAGGCCTATTTATATCTGGCCATGAACCTCCCAGTCCCCAAACCCTCAACCCGATCTTCCGGGCTTGCGATTCACCTTGGCTTGGGGGGGAGTTTTGGATTTGTTGAGGGAGCCCTCATGGGGCCTTGATTAAGGAATATGCCTTGGGATAATTTTGGGGTGTAGGGTTTAGGGTCCTGGTTCATCCCAAACCGCCCTACATCGCCCTCCATATGAACCTCACGGTGAGCTCTGTGCCCGAAAAGAAGCCCTAAACCCGAAACCCTGAAGCCAAAATCCCTGAAAAGCCCTAAAACCCGAACATCGTGAAAGCCCAAGAGCGTCTCGAAGGTTAATCCCAGACCTTCGGGAGCCCTACAACCCTGAAAGCCCTAAAAGCAGAGGTTAGTCCCAGACCTTCGGGAGCTCGCGGACCAGCTGGAAGCAAAAGAAGCAAAAGCTGGGGCTTGAGGTCCCCTCGGAGCACATGGCAGCTTTGTGGCTTTTGGGCTGGGGTTTGGGGCTTGCGGTTTGGGGTTTGGGGTTTGGGGTTAGGGTTTAGGGTTTAGGGTTTAGGTTTTAGGGTTTAGGGTTTAGGGTTTAGGGTTTAGGTTTAGGGTTTAGGGTTTAGGGTTTAGGGTTTAGGGTTTAGGGTTTAGGGTTTAGGGTTTAGGGTTTAGGGTTTAGGGTAACTCCTATGCCTAGCGGTACCTACTAATTATGAAGGACCCTGTTGCCGCTGCTACAGGTAGTTGCGGGGTGTCGCCGTCTGGCTCAGGGCCCTAACTACATCCTGGGGTTTTCTTGGAGGGTCATGGGCAGTTTTACGTAGGATGATAAGTGCCGGTTATAGGGTGAGAAGGGGAGGTTACCATACTTATCACCGTACTTAAAAAACTACGATAAACCTCCAAATTCAGTGTAGGGTCAAAGGGCTTAGGTTCTAGAAAAGCAGGGTATAGGGGCTCAGGGCGTTTGAGGGAGCCAGGTTGTTTTGATTTTTTAAGGAGCTGCCCCTTGACACCTTAAACCATCCAGGGATCCCACCCTAAACCCTAAACCCTAAACCCTAAACCCTAAACCCTAAACCCTAAACCCTAAACCCTAAACCCTAAACCCTACGAAGGTTCCTCAGGCTACGACGCCGCGTTGGCTGGGCTTCCACGACGTATCAACGGCCTCCCAGAGGGACTCGCCGAGCTCGTGGGCTTGAGGTTGCGAGGGTTTAGGGTTTAGGGTTTAGGGTTTAGGGTTTAGGGTTTAGGGTTTAGGGTTTAGGGTTTAGGGTTTAGGGTTCAGCATCTCAAACTTCAAGCATTCACTAGCTTAGCAGCCTTCAAGCGCCCGAAAAGTACTCACCCACCCAGAGAATCCCATACCATCAAGATAATAAAAAGTTTCACACGCAACCCAAACTCTTGGCCCCTAAGCCCTGAACCCCCTAAGTTCCTTGAACCCTAAATCCTAGGACTCTTCAACCACAAAGCTGGCGGGGCCGGGTGGGGAGGGGGGGAGGGGGGGGTGGGGGTCGGGGGGTTGGGGGAACGGGGGGGTGGGGTCGGGGGGGGGGGGGTTGTGGGGGGGGGAAAGGACCTTTACTCGGACTTTGCCCCTATTTTTCGGACCTTACCCGCTAATTTTTTGACCTTGCCCACCAATTTTCGGAGCTTGCCCGCTAATTTTCGAGCCTTGCCCACTAGTTTTCGGACCTTGCCCGCAAAGTCATTAACATTTAAATTATGTATGATAGGGTTTACGATTTATAGGGTAGGTTTGAACATAATTTATACAGTTTATTTCCCTTAGTCCCCTGTTCCCCTGTAGAATCCTGAACCTACCTTGTTTTAGGGTTTAGGGCGCTCCCCTGGACGAGGGTTTAGGGTTTAGACAAGAAGCCCTAAACCCTAAACCCTGAACCCCAAAGTGACGGTTAGACCATCCCGCAGAACCCTTCTATCCTCAGACGCTCCTTAAGGGACGGGCTTTTGGGGGGAGACGTGCCTAGGGAGCCATAGGGTTTAGGGTTTAGGGTTTAGGGAAGCTTGGGGAAAAACTTAGGGAGTAGTGGGGGTCTACCTTGGCTTACGTACCTCTTTCCTTGAACCCCCTCGCCCTTATAAGAACCCTATAACATCCCGAAACACTCAAGCCGAAAGCGTGCCTCTCCCATTCTTCCCCCTCCCCAAGTACTTGGAAGCCTTTTCGACTTAGTCAGTGGTTTAGTTTAGACTTTAGGGTCTAGGATCTACACCCAGCAATCCCCTGAAAAAAACAAAAAAAACACAATAGTCCCCATAACCCT